TTATCCAAGGCTTTTCTTCGATTGCTACTCCATTGACAGCTTTGACCCACAAAGGAGCTACTTATGATTGGAGTGATAAGCAGAAAGAAGCATTCGAGAAGCTAAAGAAGAAGCTATGCGAGGCACCGATACTTTCTCTACACGATGGAGTTGAAGACTTCGCTGTTTATAGCGATGCGTCTGGTGTTGGATTAGGTTGTGTTTTAACCCAAAGAGAAAAGGTGATAGAATATGCGTCTCGACAGCTGAAGGAGCATGAAAAGAATTACCCGACTCATGATTTGGAGTTGGCAGCGGTAGTTTTCGCTCTAAAAATATGGAGGCATTACCTTTATGGCACGAAGTGCAAACTTTTCACTGATCATAAGAGTCTCCAATATCTCTTTAATCAAAAGGAATTGAATATGAGGCAACGACGCTGGCTGGAATTACTCAAGGACTACGACTGTGAGATACTTTACCATCCTGGTAAAGCTAATGTAGTTGCTGATGCTCTCAGTCGGAAATTCAATCTTGAAAGGAAAAGGCCAAGAGCGTTGAGAATTGAAGTTGTCTCGACTATTTTGGAAAGTATAAAGAAAGCTCAAAGTGAAGCTTCTAAAAAGAATGACCGAAAGAAGGAACGTTTGGGCAAAACGTTGGTGTTCGGTGTAAACAGTCATGGACTGAAGGTGTTCCAAGATCGGATTTGGATACCTAAGACAGGAGGAATCAGAGATCTTCTGATGGAAGAAGCTCACAACACCATGTACTCGATTCATCCTGGTAGCACTAAAATGTATAGGGACCTGAAACCCTACTACTGGTGGCCGACTATGAAGCTTGATGTTGCAAAGTATGTGGCAGAGTGTGTGAATTGTGCGAGAGTCAAGACACAACATCAGAAACCGTGTTGGAGTTTAGAACCTTTACCTGTGCCTATGGGTAAGTGGGAAGACATTGCTATGGATTTTGTCACTACACTGCCCAGAACAAAGAATGGTCACGACATGATTTGGGTGGTCGTCGATCGATTCACTAAGAGTGCGCATTTCATAGCAACCAGGGACAAATGGTCTATGGAAAAGCTTGCGAATTCTTATGTGAAGGAAATTGTGAGACTTCACGGTGTTCCACTAACAATTGTGTCGGATCGTGATAGTCGTTTCACCTCAAGGTTTTGGAAAAGTCTACAAGAGGAAATGGGTACCAAGTTATGTTTAATACAGCTTACCATCCACAGACTGATGGTCAGAGTGAAAGAACGATACAAACACTTGAAGATATGCTGAGAGCATGTACCTTGGAATTCCTAGGTAACTGGGATGAACATTTACCATTGGTAGAATTTTCCTATAACAATAGTTTTCACTCGAGCATTAAGATGGCACCTTACCAAGCTTTGTATGGACAAAAGTGTCGTACGCCGTCTTGTTGGCTTGAGGCTGGGGAAAAGCAGTATATGGGACCAGAGATGGTTCATCAAACTGCTGAAAAGTTGAAAATAATTAGGGAAAGAATGTTAGCAGCTCAGTATCGTCAAAAGAGCTATGTTGACAAAAAGCGAAGACCGATGACTTTTGAAGTTGGGGATTCGGTTTTGCTTAAAGTCTCGCCGTGGAAGGGACTTATAAGATTTGGTAAAAGGGGAAAGTTGAGTCCAAGGTTTATTGGACAGTTTAAAGTTCTTCATAGGATTGGAAACCAAGCTTACAAGCTCGAACTACCAGAAGAACTGAATGGAATTCATAACACTTTTCATGTGTGTTATTAACGGAAGTTCACGGGGGAAGTTCCCGACATGATTCCACTTTCGGAGTTGAGAATCGATGAGAACAAAAGGTTGATTGAAGAACCAGAGGCAATTGTTGACCGAAAGACTAAGAAGTTGCAACGCAATATGGTCGAGTTAGTGCTTGTCCGATGGAAACACACGAATGGGCCGAATCTCACATGGGAGACGGAGAGTGACATGATGGGTCTCTATCCGTATTTGTTTGTTGAGGTGTGATTCCGGGGACGGAATCATCCTAAGGTGGGGAGAATTGTAACGCCTGTGTTTCTGGGCTTGCCATTTTTAGCAATGTGATAGTCTAGGCTAACCTTTGTAACCCGTTTTGAAATAATAGAAGTGTATTATTTGAGTATTATGTGTTTTGTGCTTAATTGCTTAATTATGTGGTTTGATTAATTAAGAATAAAAATAAGCGTCAAAATTTAAGTGTAAAATAAACTTGATATCTTTATATAATGTTGTAGTAGTTGAAACAAGGTTTCCGAGGATATAAAGAATGCCGAAATCCGAGTTATAACGAAGAAGTTATGACCTGTCGAAGTTTCGCGATAGAACCGGCACCGCTGAATAACATAAAAAGTGAAATTTACGTTAGAGCAATATTTAGCCTTAGTGATCTAAACGATAATCGAATATCTCGTTGTTAGTATCAAAGCGATAAAAAGTTAGGCAAGAACGGACGTCAAACGAAGAAGTTATGAATTTATAACGAAATTTTCTGTCCAGGCCTATTAAAAATAAATAATAAAAATAAATTCAAAATTAGCCGACAGAGTCTAAATGAAAGTTGTACAGCGTAGTCTCACCTTCACGTGGATATAAAACACGTCGAAAACGGAGTTCGTATGAAGGAGATATGAATTTCCGAAGTTTATTAAATAATTTGTGTTTAATTTTAATTGGAAAATCCGGCCTTATCCGAAGGCGAGTCACCGGACTCATCCGGAGTACGCCCCGCGTACAGCGAAGATGTCGACACTCGCACTCGAGGACTTCGGATGACGAACGCAGTGACGATTTCGGACCAGTACGCCCCGCGTACTCCGAGGCTCCAGCCTCCTATAAATAGGATGCGAGGGCAGCCGAATTCTTTGCTATTTTTCTCCATTCTCTCTCCCGTTTTGCCTCGATTTGCGTGCCAGAAATATCCCGAATCCCCGGTAATATTCCCGAGTCCCGAAGCAAGTCTCGAGGTCCCGAAGATCCCGAGAAGTGCGGTTTCCGAGCCGAAGCTCTGCCCTCGAGAAGTTCGATTTTTGTAGAGATCTTCCAGATCTGCTGAGGATTACTACTTTTGCAAGTCGTAGTGTTGTCCGATCATCTTCTGATCAAGTGAGTGTATACTACATTTCATAAACGCAATAATAATACAAGTATGGTTTGAGTGTATTAAGTATATTGTTGTTTATATGTGTGAGTGTGTTGTTACTTTCTCCTAATGTATAATTATGAAGTATTTTATACGAGATACGTGTTATGTGTATATTTTGTTGTTATGTGTGTGAATGTATATTCACTTTCTTCTATCTTACAGATCTAATTATTTCTATATGAAATACGTGTTATCTGTGTGTGCCTCATCTGTTATATGGAAAATGTATTGATCAAGCATGCTATACAGGTTTTGAAAATATGTATAAAAATGTATGTTTTTATCTACTAATATGTTGGGTAGAACATGGGTAGATAGTTGGTGTTTAATAAACGGATGAGAGGCCTCGTTGTTGTTTTGATCCAGTCATCTAGCGGAATTTAGATGACGACCACGGACTTTTCTAGACAGTCCAGTGGAACGCTAGCAGGCTCATAACCTGTAAGTGTTAATGAACTTGGGTGTTCATTCGCTGTATTCCATCTCCCTCATCGTTGCCTTATTTGACTTATATTGCTGAGGAACCCCCGCAGCATGTGTTGTCACCCCGATGAAAATATTCTTAGACTAGGTCCCTTGTGTTAGTTATTTTAGAGACATAAAGTGAGAATAACGGGAATGGGTAACTGGGTTATTGTTGGTTGATAGTAATTAATTTAATTATTTATTGTGGGTTGAAAACCCTATATGCTCACCAGGCTCCCAAGCCTGACCCACTCAGTTTTATTTGTATTACAGGAAGTGGCGCAAGGGCGTAAGATGGATGAACCATCAAGTTGTTTTGTTTACAAGTCTGTATATGTATATATTTGTTGAATGACTTGTAATGTTATCGTTTATGCTTATTGGTCTGTATCGGAACATGACACCCCGAGTTTTGATTATATAATGAAAAATACATTTCTTTTATAAAATGCTTTGGTAAACATTATTTTATCACGTTTTGTTTTTGGGAACAAATTCCGCAACTCTTTCAAATCAAAAGGATTTACTCTAAATTTATTTTAAAAGCATAAATGAAAATCGGTCTTTTCTGGCCGAGATTTTGGGGATGTCACACTGTCCTACCTCTCCCCAATAAATGGGAGTCCAACACCTCCTTCCATACAACAACTCGAAAGGAGGCATATCGATGCTCAAATGGTGGCTATTGTTATAGGAAAACTCAGCCAAAGGCAAATACGTTTCCCAACTTTCTCCGAAGTCTAATACACATGCCCGAAGCATGTCCTCGAGTGTCTGGATAGTTCACTCACTCTAACCATCAGTCTGAGGGTGATAAGCAGTGCTGAAATGCAACCTCGTACCCACACTACTAGAAAAACAGCCTTTTACGACGCTCATTTCGCGTCGTAAAAGGCTCAGATGACGCGCAAATGCGCGTCAAGGAAGGCCCTGTCATAAAGAGAGACGGCGCGCTTTTGCGCGTCGTCTATAGACGACGCGCATTTACGACGCTCATTTACGACGCGCAATTACGACGCACGTTTACGACACGCAATGCGTGTCAAGGAAGGCCCTGTCATAAAGGAAGACGACGCACATTCGCGTGTCGTGACCTTACGACGCGCGTGTTAATGACACGCAATGCGTATCAAGAAAGCCCCTGTCAAGAAAGGCCATGTCATAAATTAAGATGACACACATTTTTGCGTATCATAAATTTAAATGTTTAAAATATATATATATATTTATTAATTTTTAAATTAAATTTGCATTTAATTTCTCCTAATAGAAATAAAATACCATATACAAAAAATACAATCCATTGCATAATATAAAATAAAATTTCATACTCAAAAAATAAAATAAATTGCACAAATTATAATGTCATACAAAGAATCATTCAAATGTTAAACAAAAATAATACATTGCTAACATGGGTTATACATTCCTATAAAACTAACAAATAATCATACAACTCTATTTCTTACTGGAAAGGAATGCCAAACATGATTACAAGTCTCCCTTAATCTTGATTACTCACCTGCTTAAGTAGAATGTTGTTGTTGAGAAGGTTACCTAGCAACAGAGAAAAACACAACACCTCTCCCACAATCACAACATCATTTACAGAAATAGGGTTATCAATTACTTTCATTAAGACTTTCATTCAATCACAAAAATATTAAATAAAAGGGTGAAAAAAATAACTTACTTTTGATAAGTTGATCTCCCTTAGAGCAAACACAGCTAAAGCATTGAACAAGACCCTATTTCAAAATTTTATAAATACATAAATCATGATATCTGATACTGGAATACACACTTTGAGACATGAATTAATACGAGTAGATTAACCTGGATACATAGGAAGTAAAGATGGAAGGTGCCAGAACTCCGGGGGCATTGGGTTGGTTCCTTCCCACTCGCACACACCAAGCCAGAACTCCACTTAATCCAGCACCAAAATAAGCCTGCATTCAGAAAGCTGCAGGGGTGAGTCACAATTCAAGAATCTGTTAAAATTTGAGGAATAACAAGTTCAACCAAAACAATATTAGAAAACAGTGTTAAATGTGAATCATAACAATGTAATAATTATCAAGGTACTGGAATACTTGAAATCTAGATTATTTACCTTTTGATTGTAAATCTAAAGATTCCTCATGCACAGATTATGTTCTTTTCAACTCTTGCAGAGTGGTAAATTTCAATTTAGCTGGTTTGTCTGTTCTTTTCACCTGATCTTTTCATCTCTAGGCATCGTATCTATTTATTCGTTGCAGACTAGTGAGCTTCCATCATTATGTTCTTGAAATCTTGATTGTTAAACTTCTAATTTTGAATCTGAGTTTTTATTACAATGTTACTATTGTAGCACTTACTTAATGCACACATATTTACTATGATTAGGTTCTTGTCAACTCATACATGATGTTAAATTGCAACTGAGATATCCATTAAATCCACGTAAAATGACTATTTCGCCCAAATTTTTGTATTTTTACTAATTCTTTTGTACATTAACTCACAACAATGAACTTTGAATCAAATGATCCAGACTTCCATTTTACTTCTCATGAACTGTATCGTATTTTTATTAGGAATCAAGTTTATTGATGTTAAATAAACTCTCTTAACATTTCTTTCCTATCTTGTAGTTGTTACTAGTTTGCTTTATAACATTAATGGTAAAGTAAGACGGTTATCTCCTGACATTGATGATAAAATAAACTTCTTAATTCCAGGTTCAAGTATTCCAGCACTTTGCTTTATAACATTAAATGGTAAAGTAAGAAATAACCTTTATGTTGTTCGAGGAAAACAATATTTGCCTCCATCCGAGATTTGTCATGCAACTGACTACAAAAGAGAAAACCCATAATTTATTTCACAATACATAAAAAATAAAAAGATTTAACGCTCTAAAAGGTAATTAAAAAATCCATTTAACAACCTGATAGTAGGTCGCTTTGCTTCAAGGACACCGGAAATCAGTTTTTTACCACCAGTGACAGGAGCTAGCCTTGATGCCATTTTATGGAAGAATCTTATATGTAAAAAGAATAATATATGATTTTTTTATTGAGAAATAAATTTTTTTTTACAAAAAATACAACTATCAGATTAATTAATTTGCTTGTTGGGATACCAAGCATCGGTGAGAGTCCAGGTTTCCAGCATCCAATCGGTGTAGTTGCTTTAGGGCCCTTTTACTTTTAATTAATAAAATATTAAAACAAATATGAAAAAACATAAAAAAAAGAAATTAAAAGGGCAAAACAGTCATTTTAAATCTTTCAGGGACCAAAACCAATTTTGTAGTTTTGTCAACAAAAGAATAGTAATTTTTATCATTTAAAACTTCAATTCATAAACACTTAACCACTATTCAGCATCACTTCTAGGTAGAAGGGTAAAATGGTCGTTTACTCAATAAATAACCAGTCTATATGTTCATTTATCACTTTCAAGAGACAGATATCATTTATCCATCTAGAAATTTAACATAAAAAAATTAAAAAAAAAAAAAAAAAAAAAGGAAGAAAGCTCTTACCTGTTATGCAAAGGACCATACCATTAATCAACAACCATCCCTCATGGCCATTCCTTGAGAAGAATTGATAGATGTAATGTGGTGATATTGCCTTGAAAATAGAAGGGTAATGATATATGATATTGTAAATTCCAATAAGAGGAGTAGTCAATGTCCATGCACCCATGATAGGTGAGAAGAAAAAGCTCACTCTTGTAATTCCAAATTATTGAACCAAAAACAGAACAACAAGAACTAATGCAGACAGGCTTCCACCAGAGCTGAAAAGTAAAAAAAAATATAAAAAAAATATGACAAGATCTTTATAAATGTAGTTGAATAAACAAAAATCAGAGGAATGATGCACAATATCACACTATAATTCCATTATTTATATAAAGCAAAGTCAGTCTAAGGCTTTTCAAAGCAAAATTAATGTTGCACTTATAAACATGAAGCACTCAATACTTGGTTTAGTGATGACATTATTGGAAAAAGAAGTACCTGAGCCTCCACTTGTTTGACCTGCATCCCATCTGTATGCAAAAAGCTAAACTTTATTTATATTCAACACAAACTATAATTCCATGTAAAAAGAATTCATTTAATTATGTGACAATCTGGCTTCAAGATGTTTTTGAGCAACAAAAGTTTGACCTAATTTACCTGGTGATTGGTTCCTCACGAAGTAGGTAGGAAAGAGATTGATACAATTTCTTGAGTATGACCAAAGACACACACTAAAAACATACACTTAAGGGATAATGCATGCCCTGAATCTACATAACAAATTAGTGTAAATGTTGTATGTGAAAAGGGGTTTGCTTAACCATTTCATAAGGGATTACTCAGTTATCATCTTAAGATTATGCGTTTTATTAAAATTTAAAAATAGTTATAGATTAGATGGTCTAACCTTTTCAAAGACACAAATGATTGTGCTTCCACCAAATGAGAAATATCCAAACTGTATATACATAAATAAATAGGAAGACGTGTGAATCTGAATTAGAAAGTGAACTAGGGTAGAAATGGAAATTTACATATATAGTTAAATAAAATATCGATATTCATTCACTTAATACAAACTGGGAGGAGCATCTTCTGCACAAAAAGAGCAAAGATGAGCCTCGCTTGTAATAAGTGAAGCAAAATGGTGTGTTACATGAAACGTACCTTGTTTTTTGCCAGCTACAAGGTAAAAAGACGAATTTGCCCCCACTAGCATAATGAAAAATTCCTGTATTGTATATACAATTTCGGCTTTTGTGAGTCCTATTTATTTAATTGCTGAATATGTAGCCGAAACTGCTGAAGCCTCGGCAATCAAAGCTGCGGGTAGTCGAGCCTGAAGGCAAGCACCAATGTCGAATGGACGCAATTCAGATCCATCGAATAGGAGATTGACAGCTGGCAAGACAGTTTCTCCATTGTCCTTATCATCTGGGTCACCCTTTTCTTCTCAGCCTATCCAATCCCATCTTCTCCCCAAATCACTCGAAACCGTAACCCCTAATTCACTTATTCAACAGTGGGACTAATTTTGTATTAACGGGAAAATAGAGAGGAAGAAGATTAATACGAAAGTAAAATAAGCGCAATGTTGGGCCCCATTTCATCTGTTTGTATTTGTGGTTCACCATCTTCAGATATGAATCCCATTTCATCTGTTGTTGTCATAGAAACAAATCATTAAAAACATCAACAAAGATATATGAAATATTATAAAACCAATTGAATTCTTCTGGAATTAGGGTACTAATATTCTGATCATAGGAAAATAGTTCATCAATTTGACCAAATCAAGGTAGCCTCAATTTCGTGCTTCATATTTAATAAACCATCTCAGTAAGAAGAAAGTGATAATATTCAATTAAAAATGAAACAAGAACCAAAAAAAGTTAAAAACAAAGAATGAAAGGGAGACGAAGGAGACAGTCCCAAATCTATTAGGTATAAACAGTTCTTTTTTTGTTGATTGGTTTAATTGAGGCAATCCATCAAACACTTGGTATGCATTTTGAATAAAGAGAAACCATGAGACAGCTATTTTCACTTACATACTTCCAACTTACAACCCACTCCATCAATAACAATCATGTTAGAATTCTTCATTGATGTTACATATGTTTAGGTTTGATTATGAACAGGATCACAGATGAATCAGTTTACCTGAGCTTTGTTGAGAAACTGTCTCTAATTGGGGACCATTGATGCCTGATCCTTGTTTGTCTTGATCCACATTCTCGCTTCCATGCTGTAAATCATCTATCTTCTAGACTATGGTCTCGTCAGATTCATCATTTTCTAGGTAAACAATTCCATCTCCTTCTCCTTGCTTCCCTTTACCAACATCCTCACTTACTAGCGGTAAATCCTCTGTGACCTTATCTCCACCTGCGTCTGGTTCACCGCCCTAATTTATCGCGTTGTTCACATCACCTACTACATAATTCTCCAACACGACTTCCACCTTGATCATTGATTCGGAAGAAACAGCAGGAGATGTAGTTGATACGCCATCAATTTTATTAGATTTTTTGCACCTTATAGCCGTCTTCAGAGGAGGCATGTCTGATTTGTATATGACCCAACTTCAATGACTTGTTTGACGGGATGAGGGTTAGGGTTCTTGTAGCTATTAAAGGGGATTAAAGTACCGATCGATCAACACACACACACACAGAGAGAGAGAGAGAGAGAGATAAAGGAGGCATGTCTGATTTGGTAACTTTTTTGAAGATGACTATTGTTTAGGGCTATCAGTAGCACCGTCGACTCTGCTACCACACTATAATAAACAAATCGCCTTAGAAGGCCCTTCATCATCTTGCACTGCCCTTACTTCCTCCAGTGACAATTTCGAACTGGACAGGGAGAGGCAATTAGTCGACTCAGCTCGCTGATGATGAAGGTTGCCGATGAGGAATGGAAATCGTTTTGAATTATAGGGTTTGTAAACGTGGGGAGTCGTTGTAGATGAAGTAGGGTAGAGGTGAAGAGGATTGAGCGGGGTACTTCAAAATTTTGGGGGATTTTCCCCCTTTAGCTATTATATTAATGAAGGATCAGACTCTCATTCTTACAACACAGAATGAAGCCATCATAAAACCATGTTTCTGGTGGTGGCGGCTGCTAGGTTTTACAGAGAGAAGGAGGGGAGAAAATGAAGGTCATCGGCAAGTGGAGAGGAATGAATGAGCGGGTCCTCCAAAATTTTGGGGATTTTTGTCGATCGATCGTTTCCCGCCTAAAAGGCGTGTTTCATTAAAAATTTATAAAGCGACATACTTACATGACGAACATTTTATAAAAGGCGCCCTCCGCATTTCCTTTTTTTTCTTTTCTAACACTAATTTTAGGGCACGCACAAATGCGTGTCTTCTATCCTTCAAATTTTGCAAAACTGACACTATTTTTAGGGCACCCACAAATGCGTGCCCTCTATCGACGAGTGTCATTGTTTGCGCGTCATTAAAGGCCAGTTTTCTAGTAGTGCCAACTCCTCATGAAACTTCTTCTACAACCTGGAAGTAAAACGTACATCTCGGTCTGACACAATCGAAATCGGTACCCTATGCCTAAACACCACCTCCTTCACATATATTTCTGCCAACTTCTCTGTGGAAGAACTCTCACTGATAGCGAGGAAGTGAGCACTTTTCGTCAATCGATCCACAATCACCCAAATTGCATCGACACCCCTTGGGGTTCTTGGCAGTTTGGTGATGAAATCCATAGAAATTTGTTCCCACTTCCAATGGGGAACCTCAAGTGGCTGCAACTTGCCATGCGGACGCTGGTGCTCGGCCTTAACCTGACGACAGGTCAAGCACCTCTCTACAACCCACGCAACATCTCTCTTCATACAAGGCCACCAATAGTCTCTCTTCAGATCCAAATACATTTCAGTGGCCCCGGGATGGATCTATAATCTTGATCTATGCGTCTCCTCCATCAAAACACTGCATGCCCCGCCAATAAACGACACCCAGATCCGACCATGAAAAGTCATAAGCCCTCGGCTGTCAGTCACAAACTCAGATACCTGCCCAATCACTTGCTCCTTCTTCCAGTTCTCCAGTCTCACAGCCTCTGTCTGAGCCTCACGAATGGTATCTAACACCGGAGTCTTCACGCTCATTCTATTACACATACCTCGTATCGGAACACTCTCTGCCCTCTAACTCAGGGCATCGGCTACCACATTCGCCTTGCCCGGGCGGTACAGGATCTCACAATCGTAATCCTTCACCACATCCAGCCATCTCCTATGCCGCATATTCAGGTTAGGCTGATCCATTAAATACTTCAAACTCTTGTGGTCCGTGTAAATGGTACACCAAACCCCATACAAATAGTGGCGCCAGATCTTGAGGGCGAACACTACCGCTCCCAGCTCCATATCGTAAGTGGGATACCTAGCCTCATGAGGCATCAGCTGCCTTGACGCATATGCTATCACATGCCCCCTCTGCATAAGCACTGCACCCAACCCTGA